TTGCTATGGAGAAGTTCCCCTCGTAATTAATGGGTACAAAGGTGATTGTCCACACCGATCATGCGGCGCTTTGGTACTTAATGAGAAAAAAAGATTCAAAGGCAAGGTTAATGCGGTGGGTGCTTCTATTGCAAGAGTTTGATCTAGAGATTCAAGACCGAAAGGCTAGTGAAAACCAAGTGGCGGACCACTTGTCTCGTTTGGAGGAGGAGGGGAGGCCACATGACGGCCTTGAGATAAATGATTCCTTCCCTGACGAGCAACTTCTAGCCATTTCAATTACCGGGATGCCATGGTTCCCCGACTTAGCAAATTATCGTGTGAGTGGTATTGTACCGAATGAGTTCTCTTCAAACCAAAGGAAGAAGCTCAAACGGGATTGCCTTGACTATTATTGGGATGAGTCGTATCTCTTCCGGATTTGTACTGATGGTGTGATTCGATGATTTGTATCAGAGGAAGAACAAGTGAAAATTCTTGAGGCTTCCCACTATTCACCATGGTGGAGCTAGAACGGCAACAAAAGTGTTGAGTTGTGGATTCTATTGGCCTATTCTTTACAAGTACATTAGCGGTCTCGTCAAGTGTTGTGATGAATGTCAAAGGGCCGGTGGGATTTCTAAGAAAAATGAGATGCCCCTCACCACCATCTTGGAGATTGACATTTTTGATGTGTGGGGTATTGATTTCATGGGTCCGTTCGTGAGCTCTTGTGGGAACACTTATATTTTGGTAGTTGTGGATTATGTGTCAAAGTGGGTTGAAGTCGTGGCTTTATCCAATAATGAAGCTCAAAGTGTGGTGGCATTTTTGAAAAAGAACATCTTCACAAGATTCGGTACTCCAAGGGCCATTATTAGTGATGGGGGATCGCACTTTTGCAACAAAACTTTTGATACCTTACTCACCAAGTATGGTGTCACTCACAAAGTCTCGACCCCCTATCATCCTCCAGAAAGCGGGCAAGTGAAAGTCTCGACCCCCGTTTGTTCCGTTATTTTTTGTTACTATAGTTATGTGCTATTATAGAATTTATATATATAATATAACATAAAATAAACAAATGATTTCAAATTTTTTTTAGCTATTATAATAAAATATTATTATAAAGGATGTCTGTTAGTCTTTCACTATATCACATTTATTTCAAAACTTTGACCGCAAAGGTATTAGGGGAAAAGAAAAGGTCTTAAGTAATTAACGAGAATACAATGCCTAATATTAAATTTAAACGGTTATTAAGTGAGCGTTTGGACATAAGAATTGAAATTTTGGGGGAAAAAAAACATTCAAGTGGAAATGGTAATTAAAAATTAGAGTTGTGTTTGGACATGAATATGATTTTGAGTTGTTTTTGAATTTTTGTCAGTAATCTGAAGTGAATTTTGAAAAATAGTATTTTTTAAGTTTTTCAATTGTTTGAAAAATTCTGAAATTCACCTTCAAGTGAAAATCAAAAACTTCATGGCCAAACACTGATTTCAAAAAAAGTAAAAAGAAAAATAGAAAAAAGGAATTTTATTTATGGGCAAACGGACCCTAAGTAACATTGTTTTCTTTGAATATATAAGCAGTTACAGTTTTCCTAGGTGTCCATCATTCAAGTTAATGGATACACGAAATATTGCACTATCAAAGAAGGAAAATATTGAAGTGGTCACTTAATTAATTATCTAAATTTCTAAAACTCTAGATTCTTGACCCACGATTTTTCATTCAACAAGAAAACATTCGCCTTTTTCTTCTTTGCTATAACTACCATTAAAATAATCACTTCAAATAGCTCTAGGATCAGCTTTATTGACATTTTTTAAAGTAACTAAACCTCCAAGCGTGCAATTTTGCATCTGCATCATCTTCTAATAAACAATAAATGGTATTAATAATATTTTAAAATATTCTTTGCTTGCTTTGGCTATTACTATCTTTCTATACAAATAATCAGGGTACTACTTTTTTTATTTCTCTCTATTTACACTCAACTTTTCTTGGTCATCCTACTGAATTATAAAATTAAGAAAATACAAGTGATCTTGGTTGATTCCCTCTGAAGTATATTCAGATCCATCTCTTTCTTTTTCCCCCTATTTCACAAGTTTGAGCCATATTATATAGGCGTGTCAATATTTTTCTTTCTCCACAAATATAAAAAAGAAGAATTAACTTAAATATTCATTCATTCAATCGCTTACACCAAAAAAAGCTAGCAGATGTATGATATTTATGTATAATATGCGTATAACCGTGTATAGTTAGCATATAATCTATATATACCAATTAGGAAAGGTAAATAATAAACTTAATTAAATGTATTTTTTCAACATTAGTTGTGGACTATATCGCGCGCTATGGAGAGAGTTCTTTTTCAGTTTAATATCTTACAAACCAAAAATGAGAATAGACATTTGTTTTAGGTTTAATTATAGAGCTTTTAATTTTTGATAAGAAGATACATATAATTCAAATCTACTAGTACTAGGAATATGAAAGCTACATCTGTTGAAAAAAACTTAAACGCGTACTAGACAGTGGACGGATTATATGGATACTTTTCTTCCTTTAAAAACTGAAGCCAAAGTGCCCATCATTATTAGTTTACTAATTCAAATTCAAATAGCTTAATTAAGCAAAGTTTCTCTTCAATTCAATGATTTTTGAAAATTAAAATGATAATGGGGGCACATTACAATCTACTTCCAATATTTATGGCATTTGCTTGTTAATTCATAGAGAGATTGCTGTCATCTAATTTCCATGTAACGAACAAAATTAGAATGTACTTATTTTTTCAAGGTGAATTTAAATTATATATACGCCCCAACGACGTAAAGAACTTTAATTTTAAATTAACAATGTAATTTAACTTGACATTGTAACAAGTCACTTGTTTTATTCTTTGTTACTACTTACACTTATTATAAGCAATTATCTAAAGTTACCTATCATGCGAAATGATAATGTGAAAAAAAGTTGTCCTTAATTATAGAAGTTCAAATCTTGTATGATTTACATCATACCTTTATATCAGTGGTTGGTGATTATACCTCATTGGCTGTTCAAGTTCAAGTATCCATTGCCCTTTGACTTATCCACGGCTGCCCAAACAATTATAGGTACAGTAAAACCTCTATATAACAATCTCATTTGTTTCGATATTTTTTGGTTGTTATTGTAAAATGTTGTTATAGAGAACATATTATAACATAATATGAAGAATAGTATACGTTCCAAAGAAAACTTAGCTACTATAGGTACAGCAAAACCTCTCTATAATAGTTTCATTTGTTCTAATATTTTTTTGTTGCTATAGTGAAATGGTATTATAGAGAAAATATTATAATATAATATGAAGAATAGTACTTGGCTACTATAGCGAATTATTATTATAGAGGAGGGTTGTTAGGGCATCTCCAACCTTCACTCAAAATCTTTACTCCAAAATAGAGTAACTCCAAAATGGAGTAAACTAACTCCAACCATTACTCCATTTTTTACTCCAAAAAAGAAGATTCCTTTTTATATTTCTCTCCCTCTTCTATATTATATTATTATCTTTTATTTAAATATTATTTCTTATTTCCATTAAACAAATCCTTTTTGTTTCTTTTTTACATATTCATCCCATATAATTCATATTTTTTTCTTATATAACCATTTAAATAAAAATATTTTATACCATAAATTTTTAAATAATATAATTTATACGCAAATATTATAGATTATACATATTAATGGATAATTTAAATAAAAGTAAAATCATTGAGATACAAGATAATTTAATACATATTACATATAGTTTAAAATTTGGTTTCAATACTACTTAGCAACATCTTGTATTTTATATTTGCACCTTTCATTTTTGTGATGGTTATTTTTTTTTATATAATTATAACTTATAATAAATTAATTTACAACTTTACATAAAAATAATATATGCATGAAAATTAATTTATCAAAATTATACGCGAAAATTAAGATGTAAAATTAATATTATGAAGATATTTCATAAACATAATTAGGTATATATAATATGATAAATTAAAAGGGCTAAATAATAAAAAAAATAATAGGAAATAGTGATGGAGTAAATAATCAATAGTGTCACTCCAAATCACCCTCCATTTTTTGACTTCAAAATGGAGTTTGGACTTTGGAGGCAAAAATAGAGTAGGGTTGGAGATGGCCTTATAGAGAGGTGTGGCTGTATATATTTTGTTTGCTAGATAACTATAGTTCCATCTTAATTATATTACCAATCAAAATTTTCTATAGTTGACAAACTAAAATGATATTGACAAACTATTCGTATAAAATTATAAATATGAGTCTCAAATTGTTTCTCGTAACGTGAAGGTTTTTTGCACCTGCCATTTAATTAGGTCGCCTCTAACTGGTTCGTGGTCATCACTCTTTGANAATAATTAGGTATATATAATATGATAAATAAAAAGGGCTAAATAATAAAAAAATAATAGGGAATAGTGATGGAGTAAATAATCAATAGTGTCACTCCAAATCACCCTCCAATTTTTGACTCCAAAATGGAGTTTGGACTTTGGAGGCAAAAATAGAGTAGGGTTGGAGATGGCCTTATAGAGAGGTGTGACTGTATATATTTTGTTTGCTAGATAACTATAGTTCCATCTTAATTATATTACCAATCAAAATTTTCTATAGGTGACAAACTAAAATGATATTGATAAACTATTCGTATAAAATTATAAATATGAGTCTCAAATTGTTTCTCGTAACGTGAAGGTTTTTTGCACCTGCCATTTAATTAGGTCGCCTCTGACTGGTTCGTGGTCATCACTCTTTGATTTTTCAAAATAAAATAAAATTTATCGGTCTCCAAAACATATCCAGGATTGCAAGTAGTAGAAGCAATTAATTTGATGAGCATTGAGGGGAAGTTTCTTTAGTCATACTTTGAGGGCTATAAATAGATGATTCGACCTTTTGTTGAAGATCAATAAAACGTTTAAGCATTGTTGTGTTATTATTTACTTGCTTCAAAAAAACCAACAATAATATTCGATCGTAACTCTTAAATTCATCAAATTACCAAGTTAGAAAAAAATGAAGAAGGCAATTTCATCATCTGGTTCTTTAAAGTTACAGCCTCCAACTTATGGTAAACTCATAACCATTCTCAGCATCGATGGAGGTGGAATTAGGGGAATAATTCCTGCCACTATTCTTGAGTATCTTGAATCTCAACTCCAGGTGAATTAAGCTTCCATTGTAACCTTCTAGATTCTTAAAATGAAGAGGATTTTAATTGAATGTCCTCTATATTTAATGCTTTTTGTTTGCAGAAATTAAGAGGTTACACTATTACGTACGCCCATTTTGTCGTATGTATAAGGATTTAACTTATATATACGGACACAAAATGCGGTAGAACTTTAAATTATTAGTATATTTTAACGTAGGGTAGTAGGTTGTTTTAAAGTTACCAATTTCACTTATTCTCTTCGTTTCAAAAAGATTATCTTAGTTTGACTTTGCACAAACTATGATAAAGAACGGAATACTTTTGAGATATGTGGTCTTAAATAAGCCATAGTATTTGTGTGACTGTAAAACTTTTCTTCTGTTCTGAAACCTGACATAGCATGTGAGTGGCTATAAATGCTTCTTATTAAGGAAATATTAAAATGTATCAATCTTTTTTAAACAAACTAATTAGGAAATAATATCAATCTTTTTGAAACATAGAGAATATTATGGATGGCTAACTAACAGTGGAGCCTGATATTTTTAAGAAAGGGATTTAAAAAAGTGCTAGAGTATCAGACTTAGGATTTGTACATGGAACCTAACGCAAATTTTGAATCCCTTTTGATACTACAATAGAATCTTCTCTTCTACCAAGATTCAAAAGAATCCAAAATTCATTTATCAAAAAATCGTTTTTGTCCAATTTGTATAGTACAGTTTTTCCGCGAAGCAAATTTTATTGAACCCCATTCCCTCCCTTTACTTCCGTTATAGTTATTTTTTAAGTGACTTGATAGTTTAAAAAATTCTTTTACGTGGTCTTGGTTTAGAATTTAAGTAGTATGTGCCCTGGAACAACCATATTCATGTACATGCTCAGTACTTTGAATTTATAGTTAAAGAGTTTTAAATTTGGATGAATAGGAATTGGATGGTGAAGATGCAAGGCTTGCGGATTACTTCGATATAATTGCAGGAACAAGCACAGGTGGTCTAGTCACAGCCATGCTAACAGCTCCAGACAAAGACAAGCGTCCTTTATTTGCTGCTAAAGACATTAAACCCTTCTATCTTGAACATGGCCCTAAGATATTCCCACAGAGAAAGTAACTTTTTCTATTTCTACTATATTTAAATTCTTGTTTCAAGTACAATATTATCTTAAATACTTGCTCTTCATTACAGATCGATGGTACTGTTTGGATCAGTATTGAAAACCTTGAAATCTCTAACGGGACCAAAGTATAATGGGAAGTATCTTCACCAAGTCATAGAAGAGAAACTAGGGGAGACTCTGTTGCATGAGACATTGACTAATGTGGTCATTCCTACTTTTGATATCAAGAATCTACAGCCAACCATTTTCTCCACTTTTGAGGTCCTTTTCTCTCCCTTTACCTCTGAATTTATGTGAAAATGTTTTTGTCTAGGTTTTGATTCAACTGATATATATATATATATATAGGAAAAGACTAACATAATTTCGAAATGCCAACAGGCCAGAGTAAAACCATTAATGGATGCTCGGCTTTCAAATATATGCATCAGCACATCAGCTGCTCCAACGTATCTTCCTGCACATTATTTCCAGACCCAAGATAAAGATGGCAACTTTCATGAGTTCAATCTTGTCGATGGTGGAGTAGCAGCTAACAATCCAGTACGTACAGTATTTATTTATTTTTTTTTTAACTATAGTTTATGGCCAAAATGTTTACAAGAAAATAAGTCATTTTCTGAAGTTTGGTTGCTATGGAAAATTTTACGGAGAGAATATTCTCCATCAAATTAAAGAGGGAAAATGACTTTCCTCACTTTTGTGCGGAAGCCATTTCCCTTCCCAATTATCTCAATTCTTGATTTTTATCCCGCTCTTGAACATACTATTAATTTTTATAATTCAAAATTTCATCGAAACATCTCAGATTTGCTAATATTACTATCAACTTTAGTACTCCTAAATATTTTTTTGAAAAAATAATTCACTCTCCAATCGAACACACCATAACTTCTTTCAAAGAAATAGTTCATATCATTTTTATTTTCTTCAAAAAATGACTTCTGCCATGCCAAACGCATTATGTATATCCTTCTTTCTCTTTTTTCTTTCCCCCCTTACATGTGAGGTTTGTATAGTTGGAAATCTATATAGGAGTATATGATTTGGCAATTGCTATTTCAGGCCCTTGTTGCTACAAGCCAAGTGACCCATCAAATAATGACTGGAAACCCAGATTTCTTCCCAATCAAACCCATTGATTATGGAAGGTTTTTGGTGATATCTATAGGCACTGGATCAGCAAAAGTGGAACAGAAATATAATGCTAAAATTGCATCCAAATGGGGTATCTTGGGTTGGCTTCTTAATGGAGGTTCAACTCCAATTGTGGATGTTTTTACTCAAGCCAGTGGTGATATGGTTGATCTTCATATTTCTGTTGTTTTCCAAGCTCTTCATTCTGAAGAAAATTACCTTCGTATTCAGGTACAATTATATAAGCCTAAAAATAAAAATTCTAAGAAGTACTGATTGGTATTAATAGATGGATCGCCCTTTTCGTCCTTAAAGTTGATCTTTGTTGCCCAAGACCAACTAAGGTTGTAAGGGTCAATTAAATGGTGGAACTCCTTTCGGGAACTCCGATTAACTTATCTTATTGAGGTTCTCTCTTCGGATTGATTTTCTCATTTGATCCTAAATCATTCGACAACTTGAGTGTCTTAACTATCTTATTCTTGGCAAGGGCAAAATTAGGGTACGGAAGGGGTACATAAATATCAGGCAAAATTCGTTTTATGCCTCTATATATTATATTTTGTATCCCCTTAACGCAGCCCAAAAACATAGCTCAGTGATCAAGGGGGTTCAAAACCTTTGTGAGATTGCTCGTTTAATTTCCATTGGCCACAGTCTCTTTAAATTATTTAATTTTTTTTTAACCTCTTTAGTGAAAATCCTGCCTCCGCCACTAAATTTCTTTGCTGTTAGATGAGAAGTTGGGCAAAGAGATAATAGAATCTCCCCGGGGATGGTAGCTTCTATTCCTTGATTGTGGGTTGTCTTGGTTTGCTACATAAAAACAATTGATTGAATAACCTTTTAATACATTTTAATATATTGCCTCTTTTAGTCGTCTTTTCGTCTTCTTGAGCCGAGGGTCTATCGGAAACAACCTCTTTATCCTTTCGGGGTAGGGGTAAGGTCTGCGTACACTTTACCCTCCCCAAACCTCACTAGTAGAATTTCACTTGGTCGTTATTGTTGTTGATGTTGTTTAGTCAACATACAGTTGAAACTGCTTTGTTTGGAGATCCACCTATTTTCAAATAAAATTTAATTATACTTTAATAGCGTAAAAGGTTGTTATACTATCTGTTGTATCATGTTACTTATCATGTTTTGCAAGTTATACCATTTCATGCTTGCAATAAAAAAATTAGTTGTAATTAGCTTTTGAGCGACCTATAATATAAATCTTTTGTATACTAGTGCCGTGTATATTAGTCAAACTCTTTCAAATATAATATTGGAAAAAAGAGAGGAAAGTTTTAGATCTTATGACTTTATCTTGACTAAGATAATTATATTGTTCATCAATTGTAGGATGACACATTAACTGGAACAGACTCCTCTGTTGACATAGCAACCAAAGAGAACATGGACAAATTGGTTGAAATAGGGAAAACTTTATTGAAGAAACCAGTTTCAAGGGTAAATTTGCAAACAGGCCTATCTGAACAATGCAAAAATGGTGGCACAAATGAAGAAACTTTGAAAAGGTAATTCAACTCTCTTCTGAACATTACCATCTTATATAGTTGTATATAGTAATACTAATACCAAGAAAAGTATTTCGTGTTAATTAATTAATTGATTTATATTATATTTGACAGGTTTGCGAAGGTACTTTCCGAAGAAAAAAGACTCAGGAATTCCAAGTCACCTCATACAAACAAAACCTCAGAGTAGCACATCATTTGTTTGGAGCACACAAGAAATCATTGTCTTACTTTAAAGCTTTAATTTGTTATAGATGACGGGTAAAATTCAATTTGTGTTTGATGTAAAGTGTAATTCAATTTGTGTGTTATAAAAAGATGTAACTTAATGAAGTATAAAATTCTTGTTACCATGCATGCATTTTCGTAAGGTAAGTCCAAGGCTCCCTATCCAAAAATTCTTCATTTTCAGAGCTCAACCATTCCACCACACTCCTAAGTAATAATCTTATTTATAGTCTTAACAAGTTGATGGCTGCTAGGAGTTTTTGCATATGTGAAGTTTAGGGAATGAATTGGATAAGTCTCAAAGGTGCAAGATAACAATTTTCTATTTTATAACAAAAGTTGTTAACTTTTAAAAACAACCTAATATTAACAGCCACGAAAAGCAAGTCATGATATTGTTTGTTGTGTCTGCTAAAAATCTGTTTTGAAACACGTTTATAAGGTTAAGAATTACAGTTTTGGAAAATTAAGCAATCAAAATCATGTCATTATTTAAATATGGAACACGTTTATAAGGTTAAGAACTACGTTTCGCAAAATTCAGCAGTCAAAATCATGTCACTTAGGGTGTGTTTGGTATGATGGAAAATGTTTTCACATTTTTCACTGTTTGGTTGCACAAAATAATTTGGAAAATGTTTTCATAGATATCACATTTTTCTGAAATTAGAGTAAAATAACTTCCCTAAAAAAAGTTAGGAAACTATTTTCCAAAAACTCCACCTACCCTCACATCTAACCC